CCGTCCGTTTGCTCATTTCCATTACGCAAATTCTAATTTTAAAAGCCGGCAAATTACACACTTCACACGTGCGCGCGAATTCCCATCTCGTCAAGACCAATTCCTAAACGCGAAGTTTACGTCATATGTTCGTGTGCGCCTGTTGCGTGAACTTTAATTTCTAAATGCGATGTTTATGTGAAATTTCGATGTACTTATCATTCACGGAATGTTATTTTTAAGCACATCAATTATTTCATATGTTTGAAAGCGTAGCCATTTTTCCTGCGGAATTTAATTTCTAACCCGAAATTTCAGTCGTCAGCACATGTACGCACATATATATATATATGCATGTGCACGCGCAATTCCTAATTCCGGAACCCGTCGGCTATATTTCGTACGTTCACGTATTTCCGTTCGTTGAATTCCACGATCCAGGCTCATGATAATTATTTTATGCGTTTGCGCGTATTCCCTCATCGAACGGCGGACTTTAATCTCTAAACGCGTTCGTTATGCCAGACTTTTCTCACGCATTTTCGATGCTACGAAACCTTATTTTTGAAAGCGCCGATTGTATCGTGCATTTCATCACATATTATCACGCTACATGGATTCTAATTCCGCATGCTGGCAATCGTTTCATGCGTATACGCGTATTTCCGTTTCGCAGATTCTAATTGTTGAGCGCGACGATTATTTTGCGAACTTTCACGCGCATCCGCGTTTACATGGGATCTAATTTCTAAACCGACAGGTTATCTAGTGTTTCGAACTTGTAAACCAGTCTCGTGCAATGACAATTTCTAAAGACTACGACTATTTGACACGTTCACGCATTGCGCCGTCTTGTCAAGTACGTAAAAACTTGACGGCTTCATTTATTTCTTATTCAACGAGTTTGTATGAAAAGCGTTTATATAATTCATGCCATCGGTTCGTAAATTATATACTTTCACATTGCTTGCGTCGGAATAATAATCGCTTGTAATTTGTCATTTTATTCAAACAGACAAGCAAGGAATACTATTGTAATATGTAGCACTCACCAATCTCGGCATCTGAAGCTCTCTCTCTCTCTCTCTCTCTCTCTCTCTCTCTCTCTCTCTCTCTCTCTCTCTCTCTCTCTCTCTCTCTCTGTTTCTCTCTCCCCGTATCTACCGCTGTTCTTAGCTGCATCTGCAAGAAGTCCTCCTCCTTCTCCTCCTCCTCCTCTTCTTCTTGTTCCTAGCCTTCCTGCTACTGCTTCCCTTATTTCTCTTGCCAGACTCCGCTCGACACGCTCGTCATTTTCATGTGATCTACAATCTCAAGTAAATAAGCTTTTGTTTAGTCAGCTAATATAGCGAGGCGAATAAATCTCACCAACTGCTTTTAAAACGAGATCTTCGGAATTCAGCAAAAAAGGAAAACAAGTTTGAGCGAAAGTATCGCTCGTCTAAGGTCAACGAGTACAACGTGCGTCGCGATACAGATTGCAATCATTGAGCGACGATAAAACGTATAAAGAAATACCGCGACTACGGATGATCGCGATACGATCGTAATACAACGCGGTCGCGTACGACGAAGTTTATACGCGCTAACCGCGAAAAGTCAACATGGCCGTGCGAAGATTGAGATAGCCGACTTGGCGGCGTCGCGTTGTTCGCGTGCTTACCTCATTGAATCCGCGGATCGTGTTGCTATTTATTATGGAATTGAAATTACCAGGGGCTTATCAAGAGCACGATATGATCTCACGTACCTGTTACTGTGACGCAATATTTAGTATATGACGAAGGTGCGCCACTCACGAAAATCCAGCTGGAAAGCCGGAGAAACGACGACGAACGGACCATGCATCGGATAAGGTGATCGAGAGAGAGATAGAGTGAGAGGGGTGCGTGCAGGTTTGTTCGTGTTCGGGAAGCTTTTTGCTCGGATTACCTGTAGCAGAATTAGGACATATCATGCGCGATTCTCGAAGGCCTGTGTATGCGACGCGTTATTTGATACGTTGGGAGTGCGATACTCACGAAAAATCCGGCTGAAAACCCGGGAAAATGCAGGGAGAAACAAGAGAAACGGCGGCGGCGGCATTCGACGCGATCCGCGCCATGGCGCTCGACCTGAACCGTGGGCGGAACCGTACGACGATCGCCGAAGACAACCGAAGCGCGCGCGTCTTCGTGGCGCCATAATTGCGTGCGTTCGAATTCGTGCGACTGCGTGCCTGTGGATGAAATTTCCATCGAAATTAAATCATCAAGGCGCTTATCAGTCTTATCAGCGATATCGCATCTCACGGGCGTTATCGTGACGCGTTATTTAATACGATAGCGATACGATGACCACGAAAATACTGTCGGAAAGCACGAAAATAAAGGGAGAAACTAAATAAAGAGGCTAAAAAAAGCGAAGTGATCCCGACGCGAGTTCACAATCAACCGACTCTATAATATTTCGTTGTGTAATGATAGAACGTAGAAGGGTAGAATATAGAACAGAATCTGTATTCGCGAGAGAATCAGTCTCGACAATTGAGAAATTAATGATGTTCACAGTCTTTTCGCTTCTCTGGAGTTTTATACTTTCGCGACAATATCGAGTGTCTCGCGGTACGTTCTACATATGCAGAACCGGCAACGGGATTAATTCTTGAATGTACGCCGATGAGTTAAGCGGAAGCTACTGAAAGGATGAGGAACTATCTGCAAACACGCGAAACAACGGTTAATCCTTCAACTTGCGAAACCCCTCTTTCTTTGCCGAGGAGTTTAAATTTCACACTGTCGTGTCAATTTCGCATGTGATGTCGCATTCGCAGGATCGTCCTCCCCAGAGGACAACTGTTCCAGAAGTGATTCTCCCTCCCTCCCTCCCTCTCTTTCTCCTCTCATTGTCCTCACCACCACTGTCTCGCTCACCTTCTGGTGCAGAGCGACAGTCGAGCGGTTAATGCACGAAGGAGCGTGGAATTAACACAACTCCGCGTGTCGAACGAAATTACCGTGCCCGGGCACCTCGAACTGCATATTCATGTGCCATCGGATTATCTCTGTGTACTGACGATCTAGTATTTCGCTGGATATTAATGCGCTCGCGTGTACCCCCGTGATTTTAGCCGCTCTGCAAAACCGTCGTCGTCGCTCGTCCCTCGGTGATTTTGCGCAAGTAGATCAATTATTCCTAAAGAAAACTCCACTCATAATTCACATCGCCGTTGTCCAAACATCGTACCATATGTGCGCAATATCCATCCATTGTTAAGCGGCATTTCGAAGCACATAATAAAAGGGAATCCAATTTTTCCTGCAGATAACGAAAACCATGTCGAAATCGAAGGATACGGACGGACACTGATTCTTCCTTAACGCTTGACGCTTCCTTTGAAGCACGAATTTTTTTATGCAATAATAAAAGAAACTAATTATATATATTGGGGTTTTCTGGGTCGCTGATTATGAATCTGGAGTCAAAATTTTAAAATTCAAAATGGCGGATTCAATATGGCGACTACAAATGGCTAACTTTGATATGATATTGTGGATATGTATCAAACTCTGTAAACATGTTTTTTCGATTGTAGATGACAAATACAGAGTCAAAATTAAAAAATTCAAAATGGCGGATCCATATGGCGACTTCAAATGGTCAACTTTGATATGATATTATAGATTTTAATTTCGGAAATCTGATAACAAATTCATAATCAGCGACTCAAAAAACCTCCATGTACCTATTTCTGTCGAAATCAAAGAATTTTGAACATTTTTGTCCACCATACTGGATCCGTCATTTTGAATTTCGAAATTCTGACCCCGGATTCATAACAGGCGACCTCAAAAACGTAAAATCCTTATTTTGTACATAAATGGAAAGGACAGCTTCGTCGAAGACTGCAAAGTGAGAATATTTATTACGTATTAATTACACGCGTAAAATGATTAGCGAGTAACCTTTGGAGGGGAAGTTTCACGGGCGGAAGTTGCGCTCGACAAACTAAAGTTTTTACAGACTCCGTTCGTTTAACGTAAAACGTTTATTAACGTAGAGTGGGCGTATTAATTACGGCCTTTGGCAGCTTGCAAAAATGAATAATTGAAAAAGGACGAAGGTCCCCCGTGGCAGTCGGATAGCTGTTGTGAAAATTAATTATTAAACAAAGTTGAAAGGGTAGAGAAACACAGGAAGGATCATCGTAGCTTCGATCTCACGAGATAACAGCGTATCTATTCACAATGATATTCCGCTATTTCCGCGCACGTATCATCCACGCTGACGACAGAAACTGAGAATTTAATATCGAATGGCACCGAATTGCCTCGAATGTAATCTAGGGAAGATTAAAGGAAAATTGCCGCGCCCTTTACGAAGTTTACTTAACAAACTACGCATGCAAATTGCCTGTCTATCTTTATCACGCGTGCACGCCAACGAACGAGCGTATCGATATCACCTTGATATTACGCTATACATATTGAGACAGGGAAATAACGATTTCAATGTTTCCAATCAATGATAATTGGATTTCCAAATGTCTAATATTCGTAATATCTCGTAAAATCCAATATTTACGATATTAAAAAGCGTGGCAGCATTTTTCACGACGCATAAAAATTGATCTCCGCGATATATTTGAAAGGGTAAATTTCAATATGACATGTTTTCCCATAACAGAATAAAGCGAGTATGAAAGCGAGAGAGGCAGAAAGAGAGAGAGAGAGAGAGAGAGAGAGAGAGAGAGAGAGAGAGAGAGAGAGAGAGGGAGAGAATAAGAGAGATTTTTAATTTTAATTATTACACTAATTACATTAATAGCGACTTTTATATGTTTATGCATGTGCAGTACATATTAATATTAAAAATATACAGAGAGCGGCAATTTTAAAACCTCACGAAATAAAACACGGCGAGGACGAAACGTTGCGGGGAAATTGAAATTTATCCGGACGAGTCAAGACGCCGCTAATTGAGTTAAAGCTTAATTAGCCCGCGTTCCGAGTGTACGAGGGGATGATTTACTCTATTTGCAGGATACTTTCCGCTGCCGTCAGTTTATTGCCTAGTCTGGATTTGCCTCGACGTGCTGTTCTGCACCGCGAGCATAATGCACTTGTGCACCATAAGCGTGGACCGCTACCTGAGCCTGCGCTACCCGATGAAGTTCGGGCGCAACAAGACCAGACGAAGGGTAATCCTCAAGATTATCATCGTATGGCTCCTCAGCATCGCCATGAGTTTGCCCCTGAGCTTAATGTACTCCAAGGTAAGCTCGTCTATTCATTATATATATGATGTCCCAAAATTGCACTCGCATACTCCTGTATTCTTCTCTCTCCGCTTCTCTCTCACTCTCTCTCTCTCTCTCTCTCTCTCTCTCTCTCTCTCTCTCTCTCTCTCTCTCTCTCTCTCTCTCTCTCTCGACGAGTTCGCTGAAGAATTCAATGGTGGGTGTCACTCTCAGGACTCACCCTCTCAACGTCTCCGTTCTAAGCAACAGCTCGTTAAATATAATAAGGAGTACAGGCGCATAAGAATCGCGTTTGCAGCTGTAAGTCGCGCGTACGCTCATCTTAGTGAGCGCGTGACACGATTTCTTGCACCGTACGAACCGAAAAACAAGAATCTATTCTTGTAATCTCGTTTCGATCGGATGTGGAGCTTTTTTCAGGCAAAAAGGATCGAAGGCGCCCGACAGGGGTGGCGGGCAACGGCACGTTTTTAGCTTTTCGTGCCACGAATGTTGAGTTTTGCGCATTAATATTCCCTTCCCTCTCGCATATATCTGTCTTTCTCTTTTTTTGAACGTGAAATTTATACTAGAGACCGCTTTCACAACGTGTAAATGTTCCGCAACTTGACTTTCAAGATAATTTTCATTGTATTATAATAAAACACGCACACATACTTAAGATAAGCAGCGCTCCTCTCCTCCCGCTCACTCTTGTAAAAATTACTTTACGAAAGATCGATGCGCAAGTATCAATTTCGCGCGTGAAACCATCAATGCTATTGATGTTGGTCCCGGTCCGCCGTCACTAACGGCGAAAGTTTATCGCCGCTCGCGGGAAACGTCGCTCATCGATCATTCGACGCGGGATAAGAGCAGATGGATTTATACACGTATACGAGGGAGTGCATCCGCCGTTTTTCATCGGCCTCCCGGCAACGGCCCGGGCAACCGAACGAAACCGACGATATTTTCCCGACGGGCGAAATTAATGCGCGAAATGAAGCGACGCTACATTATAAAACAGCGTCTGCTGTTTCAGAGAGCCGTCCTGCTCGTAAATTCTTAACTAACCCTTCAACCGCTCGTACGTTTCTGCCGTTGCCGGTTCTGCGCGTTGCTACGCTTACGCCGCAATTGCTCCTAAAAATCGTATATTAAATATATCGTCATAGAAAGCGAGGCCGCGCGCCGTGAAATGCAACGCGAAATGCGCGCAACTTGCATCTCAAATAACTCGGCGTATTATTCTTGTATGATATTCCACATTTCGTTTAACGCAATTATCTCACAATTCAATTGATTTCCAGGCTGCATAATAATACAGTTCCCTTTCTCTCTCTCTCTCTCTCTCCTCCCTTATTTATAATTTATAATATGAACGCACACAGCGGGCGCGCCTTTGTGCCATCAACATATTTCACCATATTTTTAAAAATCACCATTCACTCATCGATTGTCTTTTTTCTTTTCCTTTTTCCTTTTCATCTCTCCAAGACTTAATTTCTCCGGCAAATAATAATATGACACACGAGAAAATAGCGACAGTACATGCAAAAGATCTCAATGGAAAGTGGACTCATTTCCAGCTTCGGTTCGTCACTTTTCTCCTCTCTCGGTGATTTTAATAATAATTATTATTACAAATAAGTTCATTATTGTATCACGTCGTTAACGTAATAATATGTGATCAAAATGGAAAAAATTCGTTGCGTCGCGAGAAAGATGAGACGAAACAACACGCGTCCGGAAAATAACGCCGATGACGAAGTAATTAGACGTCGCTTTGAATTTTCGTGAACAAAAGCATGACTACAAATTTGGCCTGAAAAATAACCCTCCGGCGTCACGGCTTTTCCACGATGTTCACAGCGCGCGTACATAAGTCTCTAACAGGTTATTTTCCTACCCGGCCGGAGGTGTGTGTTCAACGTCGCTGAGAAGCTGCCGGCAAGTAGCTCACTCTCGCAAATGCTACTTGCGAGCTACTTTCGTTTCTTGCCGAGACCAACACACCGCAACCCATCGACGAGTTTGTCGGACAAGTTTCAGCAAGTTCGCGCGGCAGCGCCATTTACCAAGCGCGTTTCCTTACGGTGTATCGATCCGAATTTCGCGGCAGCCGTGCTCATTCAAAATTCCATCCGACGCACAGACTTGAGATACGCCCGACGTCGACGGCGCTGGAGGAAGACGAGCGAAGCCGAGGTCAAAAATATTCCACGCGATCCCGGTTATATAGAAATATTCTGCATTCTCCGTCTGTTTCAATATTATCTCGTCCGAGTGAGTTACCTTCGCGAGAGCATCGGGCTGGGCTTTTTCGTTTCCGTAATCGGGACTTGCTAAGAATGCGAAAATTCTCGAATCTCTCCTCTCTCTCTCTCTCTCTCTTTCGCTTATATATATATATATATATATATACGCATATACGTACCCGAGTCCAAAAATTCCCGGGAGGTCGCGGAAAATCTGAAAATCTCTACTCTGAATTCTCGGCACCTCGATATATATATATATATTTTTTTTTTTGAGTTTCGCACGGCGTCTCGACTTTCCGAGTGCCACGGAGTTCTCTCAGCGTTGCCGGTAGCTGAGCGTGCAGCATCTCAGGTGTCTGGATTCGTTCCCTTTTGGTCTTTCAAGTCTCGACGTGAAAAATTAAAGGACATAATGACGTTTTCGCACGGACAGAACTCGAGGTTCCTTCTTCGACTGTCGCGTCGAATATTATCGACTGACGTCGAGCGGAACTCGATGCTTCGACGTCCGACCAACACGTGCGAGGACGTGCCGCATAACATAGCACGAAGACACGCGCGCTCGGACGTACACGTGCGCGCAATCTTGCAACGGAGGGTTGCATCTCCCCGCACTCATCGGTGAACGTTACGTCCTCCGCTCGATCATCGTCGTTACGGAAGCGGAATACGAGCTGACCATTAACAGGGACGGTGACTGAGGACGGAAGTATACTTCAGGCAAGATTCATGTTTACTCGGTGAAAGGGGGTGGTTGAGCCGGTAGTAGACCACCCGCGAGCATCAAACATCCGCGTCAAAGTTTAGTGATGAATACAAGTTATGGAGAATTGTTGCTTCATGGAAATTCTCCTCGGCGGCCTTTGGTGGAACGTAGAAATAAAGTGCTGAAATAAAACTGCAAGAAGAACCCTACGAACCTCCCTCTCTTCGTCTTTGGCATTTTTCTTTGATATCTCTTCATCTTCGACATTAATTAACATCTATATAATATATATAAATAATTCATAGCGGGACAGGAATTGCCGGGATTCTGACAGAATCAATTTACTAACGATCACCGCACAGTGTAAAAATTATTTTGCAACAATCTTGGATTCTCCCCTTGTATTATCCTCTATTTCCAGTAACATAGCTACTCCCAGGAGTTCTTTCCCAGGATGAAAAGAAGTGAAATCGCGTCACGCATTACCTGGTAAAAATCCCCATCCATAATTCCAGAAATAATAAAATTTGCAAGCTATTCGTTAATTCATTTTCGCTGCCGGGAAATCTCATTAACGTGCGGCACGGTGAATGATTGATAACACTGTGTGTCTTCGGCGCAATAAATTTATTACAGTTTCGTATTACTTCGCTAATTAGACACATACACGGAAATCGCGACGAATATAAAAAAAGAGGCGTGTGGTATTAACGGAGAGTAAGGACGAATGTATCGCGATTCCATCGCGATGACGAATAACAGGCATGTCAGGATGACGGAACGAGGCGACGCGTGCTTTCGCCCCTTAATCCTCGGTGTACTCGAAGGGCTCGGGCGGTTCGGCTTCCTTCTCCTCGTCAGGCTTCGGCCCGAAGGCTGAAACAAACCGGAAGCTTTCATAGCACTCGCCTTCACTCGGCGTCGGACAGAAAATGAATCGAACTGCCACCTAGCCCAATTATGGGCTTGCGCATTCGGGATTATTAACCCTTCGAAAGTGTCACGATTACGACACGAAAGGTCTCTGATTGCTTTAGCACACTGCAAACGCTTTTATTTTCAACGGATCTTAAATTGACGTAAAAGCAACAATTTAACAGTTATATTTTAATAGTATACTAAATTACATATAAAAATACAAATTATATATAAGATATGCAAATGCAAATTTAAAGACTATTATTGTAAATTTTTTTTCTATCTTGATGTTGATAAATAATGTTCCTCTCAAGAAAGAGATTATGTGCTGAATTTCAAAATTTAAAACATTTCTCGATATTGCCGCTAAAACAAATGAATTTAGGATCGATTGCTCACCGGCGACAGGCTCGACGAGCTCCTCCTCGGTATCGGTCTGGATATGCTTGACCATGACGATGCCACCAATTTGAATATCTTTGACGGGAACATAATGACTGCCTTCGACCAGCTGAATGACCTTCAACTGTTGACGCAAAACTCGCGCAGGATTTTGAAGAATCTCAAAATTCGGTTCCGGTTCCTTCTTCTCTTTCTCTTCGTCCTTGCCTTTCTTCTCGGTCTTTTCCTTGGGCTCCTTGGTCTCTTTAACCTCCTTGTCATCCTTCTCCTTTTTCTTTTCGTCTTTTTCCTTCGAAGATGATGCTTCCTTCACCTCCGGCAACTCCTTCGTCTCCGAGGGTGTATCCTGCAATTTTTCATTATTTTCTCTTCCCGTGAAACAACCCTTCGCACTTTCCTTCACGACAGGCGACGTAATTAAAATCTGTTAGCGTGTCCTTCTCCATACCTTTGCATCATAAAGTTCAAGATAGGATGCCCCTAACGGGTCGTCAGCGTTTCAGAGAGAAAAAGATTTGGTTCTTTGACAAAACAGGCATAAAAGGATTCCGTTTTTTAAAATAACGAGGCTTCTATCTTGAGGCTTAATATATTTAAACACTTGGGAATTCACCATGAAATATAACAGCTCAACAATTCGTAAAGTCGCGAGTTGAAAAACACAACAATTGAAAGTAGCAAAAAATCTAGAAATCTACAAATTCAAAATATATCGCACGAGGACACTCGAGAACACTCAATAAAATTCATAACATTCATCTAGAAATTCAACGATCCTTCAATGCGTGAGTCTGAAAGCTTCGAGATCCGAAATACAAAGTCCCGAATATCAAGGAGCCAATCGTGGGTCCAAAAATAAAAAAAATCCTAAATCACTTTCGTGAAAGGAGGTATCGGATCAAAAAATTCAGAGCTTCAAAATTCTTCAAGATTCCGCAGTCAGAGAGACAAATTCGCCGCTCGAGTGTTATACAGCGATATCAAAACCAAATCCCTGAGACTCTCCTTATCGGAACTCCCCTTCTCCAAGCGTGTTCGCCACGAAGAAGAGGACGGGAGAGTAAACAATGTTTCCCCTCAACTAACCACGTCCATCTTCTCATGCGAGTCCCTGGCCCTTCTCTCAGACTCGCGCCTCCTGGCACGCGCTGCGATGCTGAGCACAGCGGTGGTGACCTTCTCTCTCTCCTCCCGTTTCTTCTCTTCGAGAGGCGCGGGGTAAGCGTAAACACTCGGTCTGGCGTTCGACCTGATCTCCAGCTTGGGCATCTTCAGCTGAGCGTTGAGCGCGATCAGGCACGTGGGTGTAAAGGCCAGGGCCAAGCAGTGCGCCAGCGGGAACCAGTACCAGTACTGAGTGAACACCAAAGCTCCGACCACCGCCAGCATATTTGTGTGACCCGTTCTTGACTGCAGTGACACGGTCACGTTGCGGCCACCTGAGAAAGACGCGAGAGCGCGTGTTTTCAATCAGCGGCTACACTCGCAAAAAACGACTCGCTCTTTCGTGGCTTCAGGAAGGAGATTCTAAGGAATCATGATGACGAAGTCTCTCGAGGTAAATTCACGAGTAATGCGGAAATTCGGGAAACTCTGAAACTCCGAGGAGTCCGGTATGAAAAAAGGTACCAGAAGTCAAAAAACGTGCATTTCGAAGATCGAAGAGAATTCTCGTGGAGCAAAGAGAACCTCAATATCTCCGCACCGAACCGGATCCGGTCATATATACGCGTGGACTCACCAGCATCGATGATTCCTTGCGCCAGAATAGCGCCGAACTTCGCCATAACGTCCTCATGTTTGTCCACAACCACTTTGGCATACAGAGCTCGGAAATCCTTGACGCGAGGGCATGTAGATTCCGTCTGCTGAATCAGGATCATGGCAGAGGCGATTAGCGCACCCTGCCTGACAAAGTTCACGGGGTCGTTCGTCATTGGGTCCAGCAACGCGATAGCTTCCTTCAGACCTGTGCCAGCGCAAGCGATACCCAGAGCCATAGCAGCGCCATATCTCACGTGAGGATTATAGCTCTCGGCCAAGAGTGAGACCACACTAGGACATTGCTCCGGAGTTCTGGAACGTACAAGAAAATCGTGCTCCTGACTCCTGGTTCCCGACTGACCAACCGACACCTGATTTCTGTTTGCGTTGACGCGATCGCAGAGTCGTGTGTAACAATACAATAACGATAATAACATCAGTCGTATAATGATGAAAGCTCCAGCCAAGCGTGAAGTGTCTCGCGTGCTGGCGCAAGAGATAAAATTTTATTATTATTAAAATTGAATCATAATTCAGCAGGACGAATATTCAATGTTTCCTTTTTACTAATTTCTCATATCGTCTCGTCTCGTTTTACTCGTTGCGTTATTGTATCATTTTTAATGAGGTTGTTTCTTCCTTATCGTACGATTGCGCGAATATAATTATTTTATATTTCTGTCAACTGATTAAAATTTCACAAATGACCGGTGTTTGAGCGTTAATTTTAATTAATACATCGGATGAAAATATACAATTTCCCGTATTCCCTTTATCCTTCAAATTGTACAATATATTTATATTTATATGATGCACGTTGACCATTGATTCCCGCTCTCGTCTTGTTTCAGGAAGATGACTCGGTATTGGTGGACGGGGAATGTCAGATCCCGGACCCTCTTTACAAGTTAATCGGCAGCATAATATGTTTCTACATCCCTTTGGGGGTTATGCTGCTAACGTACGCGCTAACGGTGAGACTATTGGCGGAACAACAGCAGAACATCGGCGGGACAGCAGCAGGTTGGTCATCAGGATGGTTGGGTGTGCCTCAGAGTGCACCCTCTCCGGCAGGTTAGTGTATTGTCACGTACACTAGCCTGTTTTCACCCCCATGGGATCGAAATTCCGGATTCGTTCCGGAGTCGCCGCCGGATCTGTACGAGACACTCGAATGCATCAGCGTTTAATCCTACCTTTTCATCGCACTGTCCGATTCATTTCTTCTTTGCTTTTTTGAGTATAATAAATTTGTGTATTCTATTTTGCGTAAACGCTGAATAAATCTGTGCTTATATTCTTTACAGCTCAGATAAATTCACAATATTTCCTGTTTTCCTCCCTTAAGTATAAATTTACAATAGACTAAATACAAACGTGTTCAATTGATAATTCGAGGAATCACGGCCTTCGACACTCGAGTGTCTCAGTGTCCCCGACCTTCCACAAACTTTGTGTCTTCATTTTGAAAATTTCACTATTCCGTCACGGACTTATGCCACATTTCTTATTTTCTCCTTGCCTATCCGATGGTGTTGAAAAAAAATAAAGAATATTACCGCTATGCTGTTCAGATCGTACTTTCACCAATTTTCTTCCGCTCGCGGGATTTCCACTTTCAAGCAAAGAAAAGAATAAAAATAAAGGACATAACTGCGTCGCTAAATGTTCTTCCCTGCAATTTTCAACTTTTTTCACGCCCACTATCGAGCGATTTCACCGCGCGGCAATATTTCCTGCTTTTCCCCCGAGGGCACCGTTACTCGAAAACGAGCTGCGGAATACAGAGGTGGCTGTGATTTAGTTTCTTCGTTCGATAAAAATTATTTATTCCGATTTATCGGCCAGCTTCCGGCGGCGAAGCTTCAAAGGAAAGCGTGTCTTGTAGGCGTCTCATAAACGTTTCCCGAGTTCCGTAAATTCGTCCTTCTGGCACAAAGCACCCTCGAGAGAGGGAGGGAGGGGGAGGGAGGGAGGGAGGAAGGGAGAGAGAGAGAGAGAGAGAGAGAGAGAGAGAGAGAGAGAGAGAGAGAGAGAGAGAGAGAGAGAGAGAGAGAGAGAGTAAGAGCCCCTCCCTTCCGGGGACGGAAAGTTTCGCCGGAAGCCACCATCTATTGTCGCTTTGATTCTGCCCAGCAACTCTCCGATTACCGCGCCAAACGGAATTTGCATACCAACTTCACGCCGGAATGCATCTCGCATTCTATACGCCGCGTTGCGCAATTATTGCATTTTAAAACGCATTTTCGTCATGTTTCCTGCACGATTTGAGCAAGAGACGAGTCTCGCTCGAGACACGTCGCAGATAATGCAAAATTCAGAATGCCGAGAATAAATATTGACTGGCATTCAGAGGGAAGACGGCTTTCCTCCGCCGTAAGATACGTTTACATATTTTAAATATCAGCTTCCGCCTTGATAAGCTTCGCAGTAAATAATAAATAACCCTGAGAAATTTCCGACAACAAGGAGAGAGAGAGAGAGAGAGAGAGAGAGAGAGAGAAAGAAAGCGGTGAATTAATGGTTAAATTAAATGGTGTAAATATCAATTGACCGCGGGGAGATCTTTTTGAAGCATTTACAAATAGGAAAATTTTCCCCTCCTTCTCTTCTCCTTCCTTCTGCCGCAAAAGCCATTTCCTCCGTGTCCTCATTCATCATACGCTTTATCAGCGCGTCTTTAACACAGCATGTCTAAAAACTAATAGGGTTTTGTTTCCGAGTCGAGCCCTCCCGCGTTCTTTAGAATCTCGATATATCATCAAAGTGTCCGTTATAAAACATAAGCCCTTCTCACGACGAGGCACTCAAAGGATTTCAGCACACGTCGCGTGCTGCAATCCCCGAATCCCGAAGAATACTAAGTGCCCGTGAATGGAGCTCACGCCACGAGAGGTATCGATTAATTTCATTTCGGCGAGTAGCCGGAAGCGGCCTCCTTAGCATATTGTGTCGCATCCGGGATCTTTGCATAATGGCCGGCATTTGCATATCTCGTCGTGGACGTTGGTGAGCTTCGTGACGGCGGTGCTTCGTGCTGACGAAATTTCTTGTCGTAAGAACGCCAGATAGAAGTCCGCCCCAAGTCCAGTCCCATCGTCGATCCTGGGATCGATCCTCCCGTAAAAACGAGCCGCGCTGCAGCCATTAATCATATGACTGTCACTAAACTCGCATTCTCGATGGCAGGCGATGCACGGCGAATTGTATACGACAGTGCGGCGAGTTGTGCGAAATAAAAGTACGCGAGCAGCTTGTGTAAGAACAATTCCAAGGAGGATCGGGGAATTCGTTTCCTCTCAGAAAAGAATCTCGAAGTTATCGTGCATGCGCAAATGTTTACGTTCTCCGAGAAAATCCGATCAAAGTCCTTCGTGCTCTAATTAAGAAGCCGCCACAAGCCCCCGCGTCGTCCGTCCGCTAAAATCGTCCGAACCACCTTCCGATAAAACCTCGCTGAAATTCTGTTCCCCGATATTGCCCGGCTGTCAAAACCACCAAAATCTCACGTTAAAAAAATTTCCAGCTGAAAAAATACTGCAGAAATTCCTCCTTCCCCAATTAAAAAAATAAAGGGGAAAAGAAAAGAGAGAGATAGAGAGAGAGAGAGAGAGAGAGAGAGAGAGAGAGAGAGAAGGAGGGGGAGAGAGGAATCTCGGAAAACTGACAAGTCGCTTAGGGTTTCGATAAAAAGTTAAAAAGCTCGGTGCTCTCTGATAATTCGCAGGTCTCGAAAGGCGAGGCACCTGGAAGCGGTTCCTCCTCAACAAAAGCTCGGGCGGGAGCGGCGGCACCCCACAACACACTTCCGGCACGTCGACCGACACCGAGCTGACTACTCTCGATACCCACGAGCTCTGGCTCCCGGAAAGCGAGCCGCCACCCTCGGCCATGTCCGCCCTTCACGCCTTCGGCGCAGAGATGCTGAAGCTGTCGAGGGGTCTCGAGGGAATCGCCAACCCCGCAAGCCAGACCCCGTCAAGATCGACGCCTCAGCAGCATCATCAGCAGCATCAACACGGGCCATCGCATCGCAGATGCAGCTTCCGCAACGGGTATGGCCGACTTGCGTCAGAAATCAGCCAGTCACGTTTGAAAACCGAGGTTGCCCTCTTCCATGGGGCTTATCTGACATTTTATCATTAAACGATCAGTCACTCTTGCATTGTGTGCGAGCGAAATGCACGAAGGGCGATTTAAACGATACGAATAAACAAAGTGCATGAGAAGCGATATAAATAAAAGGGAAGATACATAAATTAAAAATATAAATCGTGTCACACAAAAAGGAATAAATGAGAAATAATGCAGAAATAATAACTGACGGAAACAAAATTACAGATTTATATTTCTCGTTTTATCTCCATTTTATTTATGAGGGCTCGCATTTGCAAAAAAAAAACGGTTTCTTTTTAACGTTTCAAAGAGATCCTTCGGAGAACTGCGCAAACGTAAATCTCCCGAAGCAAATAGAGCTATTTACTTTGATTTATCCGAGTTTATCCGAGTTATTTAGTCCTTAGAATTTAACTGCGCGCGGTTCCACATTTCTTTTACTTTGCTTCGTTTTATCAAGAAAGATCGTTATTATTCTCTTCTTCGACCGATATCGCCGAACATAATTGTCTGGTCTTACGCAGAACGTCCTGCGCGCAGGTGACATTTCTCTCGGGCGCAATTTTGCAAAGAGGGAATTTCTGAGCTTGTTCGGGTTTTCATGGAGAAGCTTTCAATTATTAACGTACCTATCCATCGCGTTGTAACCCCGACTCTCAAAACACGCCATTGTGCCTGACGGCGGAGCGTTCCTGTGGCAATACGACGGCACGAATTTGTGTCACTTTGTCACTCCAGCTCGCAGAACGCCGTGACTGCCACGACGCGGTTAGCCCGCGTCAAGTCAACTTACTATGACCGGGCGACATTTCGGACGGGTTCACGTCGCACGGTATGCTCGGAAGTACTCCGAAGCCGCCGCCGCCGCCGCGCGACTTCGGAGTAACTGCAGAAAGTCATAAACAAAACGATTCTTACGTTCGCGTTTGCGATTCGACTCGATGCATACGATAGAATCGACGTCCTCCTGCTGGAGGGGAGAACATTTGCGAATTTAAGGGCTCACAGTACTCGGAGGATTTCCCGACGGAGAACGTCGCACGCGACTTGCAGGAAAGCTTCGGTGGCAAATTTCCCTTGTTCGTCGCGAAAATTTATGGCGTGAATTTGCAAAATCTACGTGCGATATTCGCTCTCGATCAATTTTAAAGCTCTCGATATTTCTGCGTAAGCATATCTCGAGCAAAAAGTTTCTCCTAAATGTGCAAACCGGACTTTCTTATTGGTCGCAGGTCAAATCTTCGAAGACTGCTCAACACATGTCTCTCTCCTCCTTCTTTCTTTCTTTTCTTCTCTTCTAATATTTTTCGCGCACCACAATATCCCGGGGAGTCAAAGTATCAGTCTCAGAGGTGAAACATCAATTTAAAAAATCGTTCCTAAATTCGCCGTAAAAATACGAGATAAAAGTAAGGCGAGGAAAATCTGAGCGACGCCTTATATACAGGATCATCGTCTACTTCCTGAAGGTAGAACCGCAAGTGAATCGTGAGAGGGGAATTATATTTGACGACGTTTAGAGTTTCCAGCGTCTCGGCGGATCGACGGGAAAACGCAAGCTGAAAGTGGAACGAGAACGTTGAGAGTGCGACGGGAATATTAAACGACTCCGCTACTTCCCTCCTGCCCTCGTCGCGTTTCGCCCCCGTCTCTCTCGTCGTAGTAAAATATGTTTCAATCATAATCCACCGATCCACCGTTACGTCATATTGCCTGCTCGATTTTCTGCCTCCGCCCACTTGATCCGTGTGTCCTTCAAAAGGAGCGTGTTTCAAGCACGATTCGACAAAGGATCAAACGATCCCGGGGGAAAAGTGACGGAAAGTGATAAAAAGTCCGAGAAAATGGAGCTCGAGAATTTAACGATTTTTGCCGAGATAAAGTACAAATTCGCGAATACGGGGGTGCCTGATTTTAGAGAAATTTTCAACCAGAATCTCGGGGATCCTGTAAATACGCGTGGTCACGTCGTATCGCCTCCTGGATTCGAAATTTATCGAGAATAATACGAATCCTCCAGGAACCAGGAGCAGTCTTATCGCGATGGTCGATGACGATTTCGAAGACTCGTAGAAACGGAATTCGAAAAACCTGACGGTCCTACCGGCAGAACGAAATAGCAATTCGCAAACCGACACGTGCGTAGTCCGCGCGACCTTCGAAGAGAGCTACTCAAACATGCTAAAAACTTTAAATTCGCGCCCGTTCAAATCACGTTGCATCTTCGATCTTTTATTCCACCTTTGATCATTGAAGTCCCTCAAGAAGCATATTTAAAGGTCAGAGCCTCAAAGGGACCGAAAAGAACCGGGAGATAACGGTAAAGTGCTCGAAAGAAGAAATTGCAAATTTTCGAAGAACTTACGCGAGTTCCACGCGAGATGGAAATTTAGAAAATCAGGTTATCCTGGAATAATCCTGGAATAATTTCAGACGGGAGGCCGGAGAATTTATTTCCTATTTTTCTTTCCGAGAAAGTTGTGGAGCGGATTTCGAGGAACCCGCGACACCGGTCGCGACGAAAGTTCTTCAAAACCAAAGAGACACACAGCACACCCACGACACGCACGATGCCGGATTTTCAGGACACAAGCGGCCTGGAAAAATTCCGCGCGGAACGGAAAAGCGAAATCGTATCGCACGATCGGATGCCGCTGAAAGGCGAAAATCTCTCAAAGTAAATTGGCGCAATCATTAAATACCTCGCAATCTGCTCTTTGAGATCGCGGGCTTCTTTCCAACTGCGAATGTCCTTTTTTATTCCCGCACCTACTAATGGACGTATCAATAACGGAATCTCGAAGCGAGTTCTATTTAATGGCGAACCCATTAGCCCTTATCTGGAAGTCGTACCGTTAAAATTAAAACGCACACTAAAAAAAATCTTCGAGTGACAATTTTCCTTTTCCTTTTTGCTTTTGAAAAGCACAGTCGAATTTAATTAAAAATTAATTCGAATAATTTATAATTAATAATTCACTGTGAAACAAATTCGTGATCGCACAAGAGATGTTTCCGTTGGCTGATTTTTAATGCAATTTTATCGCGCAATTATCGCGAATAAAAAGAGAAAAGTATAAGATACATACATGTGCACATACACGCGGAAGATCTGTTGAGCTATCTTTCGTGAAGATCATAAGAAATATTTAAATCGCGAAGTCCTTCCAGAATAGAAGAATTTCCTTCTGAAAGGAACTGAAAGACTTCAACTCTTTAAGTCATTCCAAAAATAACTAACAACTGTGATAAATCGAATTAAATTCCGTAATAAACGATTTCCGAGATAAGTTAGTCGTTTCGCGAAACGTCCTCCATTCACTTTATCGGCCAAGTAAGATTGCTCGTCGCGATAAATGGCAAACGGGAACGCGATTTCTCGACTCGCCCATTTTTCACGCCGGTCGAATTTCTCGAAAATCTTGCGACCATGTGACTCGGGCGACGCGACGGACGCGTCAGAAAGGTCGCCGCGACGAGAAAACCCATTTATACATGGTAGCCTCAAAGTGGATTGCACTTAGCTGCCAGCATTCAAAGTGCAAAACGGACCGACCCCGGGGGACGGAAAGGGCGACCGAAGGAGTGGGGTTGCAGGTGGTGAGTTTCGTTAGCTCGCTCGCTCTCTCGCTCTCGCGGTCGTACTTAAGTAAACTGCTCTTGCCCCACGTGAGCCTCTAATAAAGGAATGCACTTAGGACCGGCCGTGCCTCTCTGAACGCATCAAACGGAGATCACTTCTCTATCGCGCGAGAGAACTCTGCTTTTCGAAACGAGTTACTCTTTGTCGATTTCTCGAGTTAAATAAACACAGAACTGTCCCAAAAGCTCTTCTCTTCCTTCCGGTATTTTCTCTTCCTCTCTCTCCTTCCTCCTCCTCTCTCTCTCTCTCTCTCTCTCTCTCTCTCTCTCTCTCTCTCTCATACGTTCTATTTCTCTCGCTCTATCTCTCTCTGTCTCTCAACTATTATCTTATAATTTAAGGTGCATTTAATGTTGGTAATACGAAACTAATACATACACACATACAGAGTATCTCGCGATTCGTGGTGTTAGTTTTGACGACGGATTCAATGACCGGCTCGAAATTGATGTTTTCTTTAACGATAAACGCCAAGAGAGATTATCATTAATCTCGAGAGCATTCTCTCTCTTTCTCCCTTCCTCTAAATTTTTCAATTAAAATTCTATTTTTACATCCACTTGAAATTAATTGGAGGATACAATTTTGTCGCGTATTTTCTCTCGCCAGAGACATAGTTCGCTCGCTGAAATCTCCTCGTTTTCGATCATTAATTATTCGAAAACAATAAACTCGAAATCCGGAAGGAGCTCGTTGAAATCCACAAGTGCGCAACGCGTAACAATATAACAGGAGAAAAATTCTTTAAAAACAAGGAACTCTCTCTCTCTCTCTCTCTCCCTCTCTCCCTCTCTCTCTCTCTCTCTCTCTCTCTCTCTCTCTCTCTCTCTCTCTCTCTCTAATAGAAAATAAATGTGAACGTAAATTAACATATCAACTGATACACATTGATATAAATACAATTTTCGAGATATCTACAGAGATACATGAAGAAATATAAATCGTGAAAAGAATTTGAGTTTTTACGTGAGACAAAGCTTTGTTATTGCACAGAAAAAAAACGAAGATTTAATAGGAATAGGAATTTTCTTCCATGAAGTTTCTTATATTAATAATGTCATAATAGAGTGAAAAACGTAACCGCGAAATAAGATCAGCCGGCCTATTTACAAAACATTACCCAACAGCATATGTTTCCTCTTTGACCAGACAACACCCCCTGCCTCCTCCTTGCCTTATTCTACCCTACCTTTCTCTTCAACCGCCCTCAGTCTATCTCAGCCAATATTTTTCTCAATTTGCCGTCACGACAGGAACGTAATCCACTCCGAGCACAATCTGGCTGCTTCTCTTCCTTCCGGAAGCATCCTCGATTATCCCCGAAAACCTCGACGCACCCACACCGCTGATAAAATTATCAATCTTCGGCAATAATAACAGAGCGCATAACTGGAAAATCGTTATCGCAAGATCGAAATTTTATTTCCATTCCCACGCAATAATCAGTCGAGCTCTGCTCCGCTTCGAAAATTGCTGGACACTCAACGGTACGTCGTCTTCCATCCCTTAGCTTCTTTGTCTCTTTCAGCCGGACGCTGACGCGCTGACGCCCGAATTCTTTTTTCCCTCCCCCTCTAAGCGAGGAATTTTCATCTCCTATTGATTTCCCGTCGTTTCCCCGCCGTTGTTATACGTCATTACGCCGACGCTCTTTACTCTCGATCTTCATTCTCCTTTTTCGCAGATGCAGTGTTGCATTATTGCCGCGATGCTTTCCGGGATCCGAAATACGGGCGTTTATTCGACGTACGACCGATAACAGCAACCGGCGCAAATCCAAGGGCCGTCGAAAGTGTTCAGCGCGAGCACATTTCGCATGCCTCTAATTTGCAGCGGCGGACGCAATTTTTTTGCCGCGCCGCGCAAACTCGTCCAATCTCGCGATCAATTACGCGCCGTGCAAAATGCAGGGGTGCTGCAATCGCGTTGTCCTTTTTTTCTATGCGTTTTGTTTCTTCCCCCCCCCCCCCCCGTTGGCTTTTTCTCCTTCGCTGCAATTGCACGCGCCGATTCCGTATCAAGTGATAAAGGCACGGGGTACGCGTGTCAAACAATAGAAGTGCACTACATTTCTGACGGCGATATTTGTAGATTCCCTTTGAAGCCGGAGCGCGACAGAAATTTCCAAATATTTTCTCTCTCCTTGCAACGTTAAAAGCGCCGATTACGCACCGGGCAATAAGAGGATTATCTCGTGCCCGAGCAATAAAGGGGGCTCCGGGAATTAATCTTTCGATGAAAGGCCGCCCGTACTGTTTCCACCGCGGATATGCGAGATAGATTCTATCTTTGATTCGATCACGATCGGTAACAAAGACTTCTATCGCGCGTAAAGCTTCCCAAATACTTCTCCTCTCTCCCTCTCGGCTTTCTCTCTCTCTCTTTTCTGTTTTTTCTCTCCTCCGGTCTGGTCGGTTGCGTCGATGTTACATCAAACGGAGAAGAGATTATTCAACGTGAAATAATCGCAGGCTCCAGGCACATTAATCTTTTAACAAAACGTTCACATGTACGCGCACGTACACACGCGCGGGAACATTGCACATTACGGTGTATTAACTCGGTATTACGCCGACGAGGTCTTCTGTTCGTCGTTAGTCGTGACGAGGCTTAACAGATCCCGGCGAAATTCAAGCCAAGAAAATAATGCAAATAAATGCTGAGCTCATTTATCTTAATACGGATACGCCGCGTATAGTTCTCAGTCGAGATACAAATGGTAGCCTACTTAGGTGTGATTCCGAGACAAACAGAAAGAAACAAAACCCAAAGTCCCGCGTAACTGCGAAGGGCCCATAAAAGATCCGTCCGGACGAATTTGTTCCGGCAAATATCAAAACGAAAGGTAAAACACCTCCCCCGGGTGAAATATAACGAAAGTACAGAAAAATGCAACAAATAACGTCCATCTGTTCGCTCGCAGAAGCGCGGAGAGCACTGAGAGCAGCGTGTCCTGCTCGAGGACGAGCTTGTCGGCGCAGGAGGAGCTCGTGAGTCCTTGGAAGCACCGGAGACGGGCGTCCACGTACAACGAAGCTCACGTGGAGAGAACGGTCCAGACATCGAGCTCGCCGAAGACCCCTAGGAAACGGTCCTTCAGTTTCCACGAGCAGTCGTCCTGTCGCGAGGACGACTCACGCAAGAAGTGCCAAGAGGACAAACCGGCAGAACCGATTATGTTACCGCCACCGTGCACGTGTCCCTACTTCGGGGAGTCATCAAAGAAACCACCACCCGTCAGCGAGGTCGTCATCGTCTCCAGCGAGACCATGAAGCCGATCGGCAACAAGAACGTAGACATGAACCTGTTGAGCGAGTCTATGAAGCCCATGCTCGCCAGGAACCTGGAGATGAGTCTCTTAAGCGACCCCGCGAGGCTGCCCGTCGGCAACAGGACTCCGGAAATGGGTCTATCCAGCGATACCGTGAGACCCATCAGCGGCAGGAACCTGGAAGCGGGTCTGCAGGCGGATACCGTGAGACCTCTCACCGGTAGACACCTGGAGGTGGGTCTGCTCGGTAGAAACAACAGCGCCCGTTCCGCGGACAATGCCAAGGGGACCTACGAGCAGTTGGCCATGACGAATAGCGTGGTCACGTGGCGCGGCGGAAGGCGAGGCTCCAGCCTAGGTACGTCGTGATGAACGGCTCTCCTTCGGTGACGTAACGCGAGCCTTCGATTAGCCTCGATAATTGCTTCCGAGAACTCTCTCACTCTTCCTCCTTCTCCCTCTGTTTCTTTCTCTCTCTCTCTCTCTCTCTCCCCTGGCCATCGCGTGCCGCTAACGTTCCGGTAAAAATTGCGAAAGCGAGAGAAACAGAGAGGGAGAGATAGAGACAGAAAGGGGTGAGAGCGGGAAGGAGCGAGAGAAGGTTGTTCTGCCGATGGGTGGTTAGGTCGTTTCAGGACGAGGGAGGGAGGACCGGGTGAGACGGGGGTTGCTCAGCCCCGGCGTTTCGCTTCGATCACCCTCTTTTTGCGGTCGGGAAAGCGGAGAGATTCGAAGACGTGATTCATGGTCGCGAGCGCATCCGATCATTAGCTCTTGCTCTTCCCCCCTCTTTCTCTCTCTCTCTCTCTCTCTCTCTCTCCTCCCTCTCGCTCTCGCTCTCGCTGGAATCGTAGGGTTCTCACATGACTGATCCCGAGAGATCCTTCTTCCTTGCGTTGGTAGATCCACAGGATTTGAAAATTATTAGGAAAATTCCCGGGGAACTCCGAAGTTCTTCGAGAGTTCGCGGCCGCGCGAATCTTTTTCCTATCATTATATTTTCCACCTTACGTCGGAGACTTTCAGCGCCTCAGCTTTGCAGACTCCCGATGTCTAACACGAGGATCCTCCGGTACGTCGAACGCTCAAACTCTTAGATGTCAAAATCGTAGAGAAAGCGTCGCGAAAGAATGATCTGGAGCCTTTCGTTCCTCTCCGAACCCTCAACATTCGGAATCTTCGCCTACAGGCAGCACCAGGACCTTGCTGTCGGCCGGCACGAGAGCGACGCCGTTGCGACGCGCGGCGACCGTGCGGGCGCACAACGGCGCAACGAGTGCGGGCCTGATGCTGAAGCCAGCCAACCCGTCGTCGCCGAGCTTGAGGGGGCCGCACCCGAGCCTGGGCGTCCGCAGTCATCACTCACGCACCAGCAGCGTGATCTCGCGCAACAGCTCCCGCCACGGCAGGATCATCCGCCTGGAGCAGAAGGCAACGAAGGTGTTGGGCGTGGTGTTCTTCACGTTCGTAATCTTGTGGGCGCCGTTCTTCGTGCTGAACCTGGTGCCGGCTGTGTGCCCGGACTGCGAGCGCCGGATCGACCGCAAGTTCTACGACCTGGTCACCTGGCTCGGCTACGCCAGCTCCATGGTCAACCCTATCTTCTACACCATCTTCAACAAGGTCTTCCGCGAGGCATTCAAGAAGGTGCTGCTGTGCAGATATCGCAATCAAACGTGGCGGCCGGCCAGGTAGGCCGGGCTGGACCCCGGGAGACCGGGGGTCGCCATCAGTAGGGTATGAACGTAACCGGAAGTGGAACAAAAGTGCGCGATATATGTGTGCGTGGCTGTGTGCCTGTATATGCGTGTGTATGTGTGTTAACGAGAATGACGGAGGACCACAAAAGAGATACAAGAACCTAGACAAAGGTAGGAACTCGGACGAATGGTGCTATTCTACTCGCGTGATTGGCTCGCTCTTATCGACGTAACGAGAACTCTGAGATATCGGAGAGAAAAGATATCGGCTAGCTGATGGACAAAGGGATCTTCCTGTTAGCGATCTTCCCGCCGATTCGTCCCGCGTATTCGTCCCGCGTAATAGCGATATTTTTAACGAACTGCAAATTGTTTGTCGATAATCTTCCTATGCGTGCAACTCTACACATATCGACACTACGTGTAATTACATATCGACGATAATTTCAGAATGTGTAATAATAACGATTCCTATTTTGATAATTTTATATTCGGAAGTCATTCTCGCGCGCGTCCTATGAGTGTGTTTAATTGCGACGTTGTGTTCGATAATTCAAGTTGTTCTCTGCGAAGCTCCCCTCCTCGAAACCTTCCACGCTATTTTTACGTGGCACGGAAAATCTCGCGTTTAGCAATAATTTCTGCGTTAATAATATCGCGCGTTCGACGTTACATTCGACCTCTCGCATTTAATAACAACTTGTAAAGCCCGAGAGATATTTCATCACAGTGAAATTTAGCTTCTTCGTTGGGAATAATTCTTTTTCTCTCGTCTTTTTTTGTTTTCAGTAACTGGGAACTGGGAACGCGGAATGCGATTTTCTTTGGCGATGTATCGCCTCTCTCTCTCTCTCTCTCTCTCTCTTTCTCTCATCGTTTCACGCGGGTTAATTAACGCGAACTTTCCGGCAGCCTGATCGCGCGAGAACTTGAAAACGCGAGCGAACAATCCGAACTAGTGTAGTCTAAGGAAAAAATTGAATTGTAACATAGTATATCTCTAGCACGCTTTCGTGTAACCGCAATCACCCGATGAACTAACACGCGGACTAATTAAATTCCCAATTGAATTTCCCTAATTAAATCCCGTTCGGAGAAATTTGTACATAAGAACGGAGCGGTAGCGGTGGCGGCGGCAGTGACGGCGACGGCGACGGCGACGGCGACGGCGACGGCGACGGCGACGACGACGACGTGCGTTTAGTTAATTAACGATTAAGAGTGCGAAACGCGCGTGTACGTATGTGTATGTGTGTTTGCGTGTATACACGTGTGCGTTATGTTTACGTACACGTGTGCGTGCGTGCGTGCGTGTATGTGTGTATGCGCGTATGTGCATACCTATGCATGTAGTCGCGCAAATGTACAAATAGCATAAGTAATCAGCTGTTTACAACTCGAAACGGTGCTCATCTAGACTCGAAAAGTGTGTTCGACTTGAAAACGCCGGAGGACGAAGAAAGAATCCGAGTTTAACGGGACGAGGCGAAACGATCGAAGGATTCGCGGTTTACGGCGTAATCACGACGTCGTCGATGTATACGAAAGAAAAAGGAACAGAAATATTCCGAAGGCGGAAACCTTTCCATCCTCCCCCCTCCCTTTCTCTCTCTCTCTCTCTCTCTCTCTCTCTCATTGTTCCTGCGACAACATGACATGTAAAGCTCGCCGCGCAATAATTAAAGAAACACAAGTTTCTTCTTATTATCCTCTGATTACTTTCGACGGGATGCATCGTGGTCGTTGTTTCGCCAACCTCCTGTCTGCTAATTATCCTTCCCGGCTTTCGTTCCTCTCGATCACAATCCTCGAAGTATGCGACGAAAATTTCACGAATTCTCGGCGCCGAAGAGACTCGCGGAGCGTCTGCGCGCTCCGACATGCGGAAGCTCTGCGGTGTGCTTGCGGATTACTCGAAACGCTCATCTCGTAACGAGGATACGAAGGACGCGAGGATACACGTAACGTGGCTTACGTCTGTGAATTTTGAACGCTAATTATGTCACGACGATGCTGCTGATTCCGGATTGCGATCTTCCGCTCTGAATTATCAATCGAGGGAGCAAGTGGATAAAGGCGATGCGTCTGCCGCCCGGCAAGAATAAAGAGAGCCGTTGTGCGAGCCGAATGATATCACACAATCGGTGAGGAATCAAATGAAGTGGCCTTCTTCCAGATAATTAGATGACTCTCGAGACGTCTTCGAGCGAAATTTCACTCAGGAGAACAAAGTGGCAGCCGAGTCGCGTGTAATCGAGTGACCTTTCACTCGCGCAAAGCACAGAGTGAATTCTCTCGTTCAGAAGCGCGTGGAGTGAATATTTTCATTCGCAATCGAAGAGCGAATCCGACGTGTTCCATTGTTGCCGAGACGAATTCGCTGTAATCGACTGAAACATTCACTCTGGCGGTTCCGGGAGCCTCGATGCTTCCGTTGTCGCTTCGAGCGAGCTCCCGCTCGTTTCGAGTGAGACTTCGCTCCAAGAAGTTCGCGGAGTAACGGAGCAACGCCGTTACTCCGTCCGACTCCATTTTCCGAAATAGATCACGGGGGCTAAGATCGCGCGGTCCGTATTTCCCCAACGAACAGAATCACTTCGTAGCCGAGAGGACAGAGCCGAGGACAAAAGTCGGACACATTTCGGGGCAGAACGAGCGACGAAAGCAATTTCTGGCACCTCCCCTTTCTCTCTCTCTCTCTCTCTCTCTCGCAACAACGGACCATCGCGTCATCTCCGTTCCCTTGTCCCGTCGATTACATCAAGGTCACGCAATCGCGGAGATTCCAATACGATCCCGCACGAGAGCGGTAACGCATGTCGCTCGAAGATGAACCGAGACAGGGATTGTAAGCGACACAATCGCGTGTTGCCGCGACAAACTACGGGCGATCATATCGCGCGGCTCTGAGATTGCGTCCTCGTGTACATGCGATCTCCGAGGGACTCGCCGATCCTGCGGACACCGGGCGTGTTTGCGGAATCGCGCCGGCACGGCCTGTGTCGTTCGTTTGTTAAATAAAATCGAGAGGCCGATCATCAGCGTGTTACGCAAGCGTGGCCCGCGCACGGTCCTCGTAGTTTCGCCGCGGTTGTATCGACGCGGCGAAGTAGTACACCATACTACTTCGCCGCGTTAAGTACCGACGAATAACGGACATGCACGCGGCCCCGAACCTCATCGGCTCCCTCCCTCGGCCACCCAATCAGAAAATCAATTGTGCACGTCAACGCCACGTTAATCGTTCGACCGACATTCACCGTCGTTCTGCTAATTATTTAGTTTTCCATCGTCCGCGGCTTGTAGCAGCGCGACCCACCGAATCCATTTAAACGTCGCCCACCAAATAGAAAGCTACATTTACGTGGCCCTCAGACGCTCGTCAGCGGGAAAGAATTAGTCGATGGGCCGCATGACGACGAGGCAATTTAGCTAGCATTGCCGATTAATTCCCGATCAATAACCCGCTGATTTTCTTTCGGCTATCCACCGCGTGAATAATTTATCGACGTGCATGAAAACCGAGTGCAAGCTCTGTCTCTCTCTCTCTCTCTCTCTCTCTCTCTCTCTCTCTCTCTCTCTCTCTCTCTCTCTCTCTCTCTCTCTCTCTCTTCCGTTCCGTTTTCTCTCGAATTTCGAGCGGATGCTTCCGTTTGGATGCTAAAAAGGAAGATCGCGATTTTCGCGGAAGATGATGAGACGCAGTTTGTCGAATCCGGGAAAATTCACGATTAGCGTCTCTCCCTGCCTCTTACTGCCCTCTCTCTCCTGACTATTATTAACATCGATTAAATTTATCGCGCGCGGCACGTGCGTTATCTCCGGTCGACGTGTGAACTTTGGTGAAATCGATCGAGATTAAGCGGTCTCGCGAACTCGCGACATCTGGATATGCCCGAGTTGGCAAACTCGAGGAAACCCTCGCCTATCAGACGCTGCAGCCGGAACGACATTAACTATGCTCACTTATTAACGCAGCGAGCAAGCTACGTCCCTCGATAAGGTTCTCCGCGATTGGATCCCCAGTATCCGGAGAACGCATTTCGTCGTCAGTCGGTGTGCCGTCGAACTTCAGCAACTTAATTAGCAAGATGGTTCGCAGAGCGGAGACGCGCGCCGCCGTGGAAGGCCGATGCGAAAACGTGACGCGTCTTTCGTACATGTAATATTTACGTTAAACGGCTAGCGGTTATTTATGAACATAGTATTTTGCATGCTAACCGAGCCGCCAGATGCGTGTACGATATGAAATTAAAGTGAAACAAATTGCGAGTAAACATTAAATGATAACCGCAGTCGCGGGCGCGCGTCGACCGCGCGGGAAAATCGATATTTCGAAATGAGATTTCTCATTCGGCCGATGCGCACTCGCTCGAGCGAATATACATTGTATATTCGATGGTGGCGGCGGCGACGACGGTGCGTCTTTCGATATCGCCCATACATTCGTCCAGTTCTCGTCCTCTCGCGCTAATTTCTTCGTCGAGCAGCGGCTTCAAGCGGTAATGCGAGGTCTCCCGCGGAATTGGCGTAATTGGCAATCTGCACAATTAGTTCGCGTCTCTCGTCGAAGGGAAAGACTAATCGTCGCAAGCCCCGTGGGGCTGAATTCTCCATTAACCCTTAAACGGGACGCTCACTTGCACTTACGCGGCAGAAGAATCGATAATTAAACCGCGACGGTTCGGTCAGGATCGCGGATCGTGTGTGACGTCGCGACGTCATCGGCATCGACGATAGAAAAAAAGAAACAGAAAAAAAGAGTACATTGTATTCCTCGCGCGCTTTCACGCGCGATCTCCTCCGAAGCCCGGAGTCGAGGTGGTATCGACGTGGAACGAAATCGACCGCGACTTAATGACGTCGCGCGGAAACGAGACTTCCCGGCCTTATTTCGCGGGAACGGCCGGTCGGAGAAACCGTGTCGTCAAGTGTTTCGCAAATAGCGAGAAGACAAATCGAACGAACCGGCCGCTGAGAGAGGCCGAGAGGCGCAAAGAAGCGGCCGTCCGTCCGAACTTGTTCGGGCTGACGTTAATTAACTCGCCGGACAAGCGCGAGCTCGACTAACGGCCGGCCAGCCCCGGCGAAATCCGCTCGAGGGGCAGTCGGGGCCCGGTCGATCGCGCGAATCCGACGGGGAAATTCCGGAATTAGCGCCCGGGAGATCCGCACGAAATGAGCGCAGAAACACCCGTGAAAACTACCGCGGTCCCGTCCGTCCGGACCCCCATCGGCGACACGTGCCTGTGTTGATTGCGATTCGCCGTTAATGAGGCGCTCCACCCGAATTGCATAATGATAATGTGCGCGATATCGAATATGGCGATTCCTTCAGCGCGCGCCGTCCGTCGACCATTCGCGAGCCGGCCGCGAATATTCCCGAGGGGATATAAACGCGCATTCGTAAACTGCAAAAATTGAACGACCAACGGCGAAAAATAAGACGCATTCCCCGATATTTCCATGATTTTGTTCCTTGCTCGCTTTGCTTGCTCGCGCGGGTGGGACTAACAGTTGCACGACAAAAGATCCGTTCATTTGTAAGAGATGTCGTAATTGATTTCTATAATATAGTTGTGAGGGATGTTATACGACTGTGATTTTTCGTTTACACGGAAATTTTGCGCTCGACAACGCTAACGAGAGGCAATCTGAAAAATCATTCGAGAGCTCCGAAGCTCGACATATGCAAACAAATCACGACGGGCTTTCGCGTAACAATTTCGATATCGCCGTATTTTCGACATCACACATCCATGATTTCCGTCTGAACGGATGAAGACACTAGATAGAGGTAGAAATATAGAGAGGGCGAGAGGAAGAGAGACGGGCAGAAGGAGAAGGGGGAGACACAAGTGTGACGTCCTGCATTTTGCGGTTGCACGCATCTCGGTGCATCCCGATGCACCTGGCCTGCGAAATACATTTCGCAGACCGCGACGCGATGGATATATGGCATATACGATGCTCGCGATACAGCCCTTAGCGACACATAGGGCCGCGTATATAGGGCTTAGTACATAGAGAAATTAATAGGCGAGAGCTCGACATTTCGATATACTAAATTAGCCGGTGTTTCAACGGCCGACTATTAAAAGCTTTATTCCCCGAATTATGGTGGCCTTGCGAAGGAAAAAGAAAAAGCTAAAATTAAGCTGCCGTTAAATTCGTCGGCCTCTTAACAGGCAACCATTAAAAGTCTTAGGCCGAAATTAGGACTCTCCCGTCGAAAGCGCGAGCGGACGTTAAATTGGCTGACCTGCGCCGATACGCGAATTATTAAAAGTCTTGGTCTGCCTCTGAGGCCACGGCTCTTCCCGCAAACACTTGAGATTAATTTCCCGTTAAATCGCCCGATCTTTTAATTAAGATCAGGCTAACGACGGATTTGTTGGTTCTTTAATATGCAGAGCGCGCAGCGACGACGATGACATAGCCGCGCCGACGGACGCGAAAATAAATCAGGATTAACGGGATAATTTTTCCCAGGCAAGGAAGAGACTTTTACCGAGGAAGTTTCGGAAGAGTTCTTCGAAGAAATCTTTCGAGACTGGCTGGCGAATTAACTTTTTCGCGTTTCTTCGCGTATGAGCGATCTTCAACGGTCATTTATCGTCGAATTCATTTCTCAACGACGGTCAACAGAAAGTCATGCGCGAAATAGGAGATAAAGAGGAGCTGAAATTAGAAAGCTTTCATCGCAAGCTACAAGCGAAACGAGGCGAAACGCTAAATCGCTCCCGGCCCTCTGACGCTACGCTATTAAAATCCGCAGGACACGTAAATTAGACGCTTCCCTTGAAAATCGAAAATTGCATTCCGAGTAACGGCGACGAGTGTACTCCACGGAGTAATGGCAGCAGTAGCATCTACCTTTGCAAGGAGGAAAGTGTAATAATTTATCAGACTAGCGTCGCGGACAGTGACATACATAACTGCTTCCGGACTCGTTAATCTATCGCAGGAAAATGAGGCGGCAGACTTGGGAAGATCGGGACGCGTGGCGACGGCGGCGGCGGCGGCGGCAGCGGAGGGAATGTTTTTCCAACGCTCGCACGATAAACTCATTTTAATTAACGAGCGGATCCGCGTTAAAATACGACGTATTAAAGCACATTATTTATGGAAGACGCGCGGTGCAGCGGATAAATAAATGTAACAACGTCCTGAGGCGCTCTGAGAGAAAAGTTACTAAATCTTACTTTCTAGATTTCTCAGACGTCACCCTGAATGCGGTGAAACTCCAACTTTCGCGGACGTTAAGTCTCGAAACAAGGTCTGTCCTTCGAAGGAACGAATTAATTAGGGATGAAAAATAAGATGTCTCCATTTTCTGAAATCAACGTGAGCTCTTGGGAAAGTCTCTCCGTTCCGGAGAACAATCTGATGCAAAAGTTATATTATACGTATACATATAATTTAAAAATATATTAAAAAAATAAAGATAAGAGAGACAGAAAGAAAAGTTCGCTTAAACACGCGATTATTTACTGGATACCATCTTAATTAAATCATGGAAAATTCTAAATTTGTCTTAATAGGAGATAATGCGCAAGGTTTTATAATATTAAGGACAGGCGTGCAAACGAAGAGAACGTTGCTCATTAGCGCAGTGTCCCGGCGCGTCTCTCGGTAATTTCTCTTCGATTTCATCGGCTGGCTTCCTTTTTGAGAATGTCCTATAATTATGGCCGCAGACTTTTAGCGAGCGTCGTCGCGTCGACAGCCATTAATTTCTCGCAAGACGCTGCACGATGTTTTCGCATAATTTTTATCCGTCGCCGCGTAAAGCACCTCGCATGCACATTTCGTAAAAAGGATATTACTGCGGCGCTCGCAGAGCAAACACATGAATAGACTACGCGAGACCGCGGGGCGGAAAGCGCGTCGTTTGAACGGCATTAAAGGTAGAATATTGGCTATTCTTAACGCGGAACAATAATTTACACCGTTCTATTATTAACTCGACATTAATTTACGAGTTTTGTTCTGGTCGCGAATGTCTGTAGATAATTTTAAAATTAAAATTGGAATGTTTGTATGTATATATGTGTGTATGCGAATTGATAAAATTGCCTCAAAATTGCGAGTTTCAATATTTTCAGCTGAGACCAATGCGGCCGAAAAAGCTGCAGCGCCGGCATTATGATGTTCGCAGGGCGGAGAAACAATTATTAATCCGCGATTAAACGAGATCAACGCACCGTTAACCAGTCGATTTACCCGCCGCGAATTAATTCATGGTGAATTATCGCGACTCCGCAACGGAGAAGAAGCGAATTAATTCCGGGTGCGAGAATATTAAAATCGGACGCCGAGTAGTCTTCGGTATAACTCTAAGCGAGGATTATCGGCGGAGAAGGGTAGGGGGTTGCATCCTCCACGATCCGCTAATCCTCTCCGAGGGATTTAAATGTCACGCGAGGATATTAATTCGCGCCCACGCGCGTGCACAGCGCAACGATCCTTTCTTTTATTTCTTCAGCTCTTCCTAGGTGGTAATCCCTGTTGCTGCTAAAAATACTAACCGTCCAGAAGA